CAATGGTCTATGCCACACATATGGTTGAAGAGCCTTATTTGTGCTCTCTCTGTTTAAGGTCACCCATAGTTTGTTTGACGGGGCTGTATGCCAATCCTGTGTCCGTTGAAGCACTGCTGCGTGGAAGTATTTGTGAAAATCTGGCAGTGCTAGTCCACCCAATGCTTTAGGAAGGCATATTTTGTCTTAGCTGATGCGTGTTCGTTCCCCTTTCCAGACATATGTAATAACCGCCGTTTTGAGTGTTGTGAAAAAGTCTGGCAGTATGTGCCAGGGGATGGTGTTGAAGCAATAGAGCAGTCGTGGTAGGATGTTCATTTTGACCACTGCTATGCGCCCTTGCCATGATATGTAGTCATAGTTCCATGTCTTAAGGTCAGCCAGATGGTGCAGAGGAGAGGGGTATAGTTCCAGACGTAGAGCTCTTTCGGGTCATGAGGGATCCAAATCCCCAGGTAGCGCATTTGTCCAGAGCACCACTGGAAGGGGAAGCTATGCTTGATTTGGTCTTGTTGTTCGATGTTCAATATATGATATTCATTCATATGCTTCGAACTCTTTCATAAGTGCCGGTAGAGTGTAGGGGGCTGTTCACGAAAAAGAGCATATCATTCGCGTATGCTGCCACCTTGTGTTCCTGATCTTTATATTGGAACCCCTTGACCTCTGGCGTTTGTCGAATCCTAGCCAGAAACGGTTCCAGGGTTAGGGCGAAGAGGAGAGGTGACAGTGGGCAGCCTTGCCTGGTGCCATTGCTAATGGCAAAGTTGTCTGTGAGTGCCCCATTTATTCGGACTCTTGCACTTGGGTTGTTATAGACTGCTGCTATCCATGCGAGCATCCCTTTCCCCATGCCCACCCTGTTCAGCATTGCCATCATAAAACGCCATTCCACGCGGTCGAACGCTTTTTCTGCGTCTGTGGAGAGCATTAGTATGTTTATTTTTCCCTTTTTTGCTAGTCCTTGGATACCAAATGCCTGCAGGGTACAGTCCCTGGCTTTCCGGCCCCGTATGAAGCCTGTTTGATCCGTATGGACCAGACGTGGCATGTGCTGTGGAGTCTTGTCGCTAAGATCTTAGAAAAGAGCTTCACATCTGTGTTGAGGAGGGAGATAGGGCGATAATTGCCACAGTTTTCTGGTTTTTACTGGGTTTGGGTACCACTGTGATTGTGGCCACTAAAGTTTCCTGATGGAACTTGTCTCCCTTCTGAAGTTGGTTTAAGGTTTCAGTGAGTTGTGGGGTTAAGATTTCTCCAAATCTCTTGTAGTACCCTGCTGGTAGACCATCCGGACCTGGTGCTTTGCCGTTTTTTGTTGACTTAATTGCAGCGTGTGCTTCCTCCATAGATATCGGTGCATCTAATGCACTGGCTTCCTCTGTTGTGAGTGTATCTGGACTAAATCCTTGTAGGAACTGTGCTGTGGCTGCAGTCATTGTGTCCTGGTGGGCCTCTGTCGATTTGGTGTTAACATTGTATAAGCATTCGTAGTATGTTCAGAACTCGCCTGGTATCTCCTCGGGGAATTGTGTGAGGTTTCCCTTTGATGTCCGTAGTGCGTGTACTTGTGCTTTAGCTTGTTGACCACGGATCATGTGCGCGAATAATCTCCCTCCCTTATTGGTGTGAATGTAGTAAAAGGCTTTAGAGCCCTGTAGCGCTCTGTGGTGTTTGTGAGCTATGAGCTCTGCTAGCTAGCGTCGGGTTGCAGGTAATGTACGGTATTGAGCCTCTAGTTATGTTCGTTTGTGGAGGGCTTCTATTTTCGCTATCTGATCATTGAGTTCAGTTATGCGCTGTCATGCCTTTGTTTTGTGAAATGCTATCATTATAAAATGTCCCCTCAGGACACTCTTGTGGGCTTCCCATAGCGTCACTCTCAACATTTCCTCTGTGTTGTTCTCATTACAGTATTGATTTTAGTGTTCCGTCAGCTGTACCTGCACTTCAAGATCTGAGAGGAGCGAGTCGTTCAGCCTCCATGCAGTCTGGGTGGGCCTAAATAAGGGCGACCACAGTGTTGGGAGTATCTCTGCCTTCTGTAGTCATTGGAGACCCTCTTGTTGGATGAAAAGATAGTCGATGTGCGAATATATTTGGTGTATGGCTGAGTAGTGTGGGTGGTCTCAGCTTTCTGGGTGTAGTGCCCTCCAGGCATCTACTAGCCTCAGGTCACGGAGGGTTCTGAGAATCGTTCTGATCGCCGTTTGTGGGATGCTGTTGTGTCCAGTTGACGAGTCTGAAAGTGGGTCTAAAGGCACGTTAAAGTCCCCTCCGAGAATTAGTATTCCTTCCGTAAAGTTGGCGAGTTTTAAGCTCGTTTTTCGTAGGAATTTAGCTTGTTTCGCATTCGGGGCAAATATTGAGGCAAATGTGTATGTTTTCTGTTACAAAAAGGTATCTGCCCCCCGGATCTGCGAGCATTTCGATCAGGGAGATTTGAAAAATGTCTTCTAAGAGGATGGCAATACCTGCCTTGCGTGCAGAAGGGTGGTAACTGTGGTGGTTGGTCGGATAGTTTCTGTCTTTCAACCTATGGGGTTCTGATGCTCTGAGGTGTTTTTCTTGCTATAGAGAAGTGTCTGCATTTAAGTTCATGCAAGAGATGCGAGCACTTTTCTGGCGTGTTTAGACCCCTACAGTTCAGTGTTGTGATGTGGAAGGGTGTGGCCGCATATGCCAAAGTGTGAGTGTCGATGTTTGTGCGGGACTTAAGTGCATTCAAAGCTGTGTGTATCCCAACCTCGGGAGCTCTTGCATGCCCTAAGGACGGGTGAAGAAGAGAACGGAAGGACAGAGGGGGAGGGTTCAGGAACGGTATCACCCAACTGCAGCCCCGGGAGCCCCAGCGGGCGGCCGTCGGGGGAGCGAAATGAGGGGAGAGCAAAGGGAGGGGAAGTAAGAAATGGAAATAAGTGGAGTCTGTGGGATCACTCAGTCACCGCCCCCTTCCCGATTGGGTTGTACGGCATCTGGGGGACCCCCGGCCGGGCTAATAAAAATGTCAGAATCCAGGAGTTCACCGGTAGTCTGATCACTCTCTGGAGGTCACAACAGATGTTAGTTCCCTCAATATGAGGGGTACCTGTGTAACTTGGTGGAATATCAAAACCGTACCACTACCTAGTGTGGATCAGAACTACTGTTTCCTAGTGTTTCCCCCAATAGTCTAGGTATACACAGGTTCAGTCAGGTGTGTTGGTCTACTATCGATTGTAGTGAATGTCCGCAATTGTGGAGGTGTGTGTATATGAGAAAAGGGTGTACAATGTGCGGGAGCATCTTTGAGTCTTGTGTCCCACATAAGTCTAAGCTTATTCCTTTTGCTAACCTGCAATAGTTGCGGACTGTGAGGACACAATTTAGGTGAGTTTAAGCTATACTTGGGGTAGTGGCCCTAGTGGGGTGGGTGGGATATATCCCCTCCGTTGGCAAGTCAGTGGTGCTCTCAGGGCCCTTTTCGCCCTCGTCGGGTCTACTTTTGTAGGGGAAAGTGTTGTTGTGGTTAACAGTGTGTGGTCGGGATTGACATTGTGAGGTCTCTCGCATCTCGTGTTGGGTCCTACCAGTCGTTGGTCGTGTCTTGGTTAGTTGAATGTTGTAGGTACAGTCCCTTCTAGATGTCACCTCTACTGTTTATGGATTGTGTACATGGTAGGCGTGGTGTGGGTTCTGGCTATCTAGGTGTAGGGGTAGTTGGTGAGGGGTCCCAGAGAGAGAACAATGAGGTGGGAAGGCACAGCACAATTTCAATGCACAATGTAGCATACATGAACTCTTTTGCTTTGTCCTGCCAGCCCCCCCCAACTCTGCCTCCTGCTGCTTATCCCCCTCCCCCCCTTGCTTCCCCTTAGCCATCTTTCTTGGGTGGCTGATGTCCTGCATGTTATTTCTCAACTTATCACAATTCTGTTTGAGTCGTTCCCCTTCAGTGTTTCAAGCCCCTCAGTTAGTCCACCCCCCACCTCCATCCACCCTTGTTGATTTCTCCCCACAAAATAATTAAATTCCATCATCCCCAAATAACAGCTCCCCTCCCCACCCCAGTCCCTGTCTAACAACATTAAAGGGAAAAAGTGCAGGCTTTCGAACTCCGCCTTGTTAGACGCCTTTGGCGTCTAGCGACCTGGAACCGTAAAGTGTCTCTGGTGTATAGGTCCGCTCTTTTGTGTGAAGAAAGTCTCCTATTAAACCCCCTTCGCAGTGTCCAACTTAGGGAACCTGGAAAAACCTCCAGAATCAGCAGTGTCCCTGTCTAGCTGCCTTCATCCCCCCATAGGCCCTAAACCCAAATGTAAGCTACGGCTCGTCTTAATAATTCCAACTTTGAGCCTGAGAGGTAGTGCCTAGGGGTCTCATAGGAGTGCTAGAGTTAGGGACCCCTATTGGGTAGGTGCACAAGACAGGACTTATCTGTTCTCTCTGCTGAACTGGAAGTCTCTGGTCACTCAATAGGATCTCTATCAGGATGGGTGCACAACAGTCTTGGCTGACTTACGGTCTGAAGGGGGGCCATTTGCTATCACTCCTCAGGGTCAGCTGGGGCAAGGTGTCTGCGGGCTGTTGGACATCGTGGTGTGTCGTCTCTGCATCAACGCTGTTGTCCAGGTGTTTGTGGCCCAAGACTTTGCTCTTTTGGCCCAAGGATCCAGTTTGTAACTTCTGTGGGTGGCAGTCCCAGTCATTGTAGGTATCTTGGTACCTCTTCTGGCCAGTGTAGGGGGATCCACTCGTTGTGGTGCCTTGCGAGTAGAGTGTAGGGGAATCCCCATGTATATGGTATTCCCCGCTCTCTGAGAAGTGACGTAACAGGCATCCACATCTTCCTCTTCTGAGGGTTCAGGTAGTCCGCGAACACGCATGTTAGATCTGCGGCCTCTGTTATCTAGATCTTCGGTTTGGCATCTCAGTTCAAGCAGTATGTTTCCCTGCCTGGTGATTACTAGGTTTGAGGCCTCTGCCTGTGCTGCTGTGGCTTGCGTGGTAGTCTCCACTGCCTAAATTCTGACACCATGTGCTGTGATTTCTGCTCTGAGTGCGGTGACTTCTGTGCAGATCACCACGTGGATAGTGTCTGAGAGGGCACGGAGGTCGTCTTTAGTGACCATTGCGCCAGCTAGCGCTCGCATATCGGCGCTGATGTCTGCCAGTGAGGGGCCGCCGGCCTCCGAGGTCTGGGAGTGGGTCGGGGAGTCGGTCATGTTTGTGCCTGCGGTCTCGCAAGACATGCCCGCCGATGAGTGTAGGAACCCATCCATGGGCCCAGCCTGGGTGCTGTTGGAGCTGCTCCTCGAGGTCTGGAAGCCATCAGGCATTTTGTGTGCCCCATCTTTGGTCCTCGCTGTGGGTTTAGCATGCTGATTATTGCTGTGTGGGACAGAGCTCCTCTTAATCTGTGTCTAGACCATGCCCCCGCAAAGTATTTTAAAGGTATATCACACCTTTTTAAAAATACGATATTATTAATGCTAGTTAGTTAATATTAAAACTAACAGTTGTATAACAGTTGTTCAGATCCTTGTAAATTAACATAGTCAAGAACATAGCCAAGAATTACCGCAGCATAAGCAGTTTGGAAGGAAATTGTGAATAATTTGCAAATGTGACATGTATGAAATTGGAAAATGATTTCTGTGGCAAGTACAAAGGGGAAATAAAATCATGTTACTATTTGGATTGCTGTTGGTTTGGAACACAAAGGGGTGGCCACTTATTGTTCCTATTTGGATTGATGTTGGTCTAGAACACAATGAAGGTGGTCGTTTCTATATGTACGCCCTCCTCTCCACCTTTACCACCCCTGGACCGGCTTGGAACCCTGAGATGAATCTGATCATGGGCAAATGTTAAGTGTGCTTACTAGGGGCCAAGATCTAATTTTCAGTAAGATACCTTGCAATCATTTCAATACTAAAATAATTGCAATACTAAAATGTATTACTTAGTTTTACTTAGTATTAGTAAATTCTGCCCCTACTCGCTCTACTGTGAGTAGGGGCATGTCTATTAAACAGTGAGCATCCCCTCGCGAGTCCCCTACCACGTGAGTGCGGGCTATTAAACTGAAGGGGGGACCTAGAGCCCCCCCGGCCCCACCCTTGAGCGGCAGATGGGGGTCCTATATGAGAATGTGAGGGGGACCTACTGTCCTCCCACCCGGCCCCAACCCCTGAGCAGCGGATGGGGGCCCTAAATGAGAATGTGGGGGGGACCTATTGTCCTCCCCCAAGGCCCCCACCCCTGAGCTGTGGGTGGGGGTCCTAAATGGCAATAGGGGGAGGGACCTATTGTCCTCCCACCGGCCCCCACCCCTGAGTGGCAGGTTGGGGCCATAAAAACAATGAGGGGGGACCTATTGTCCTCCCCCCGGCCCACACCCCTGAGCAATGGGTGGGAGCCCTAAAAACACCCCGGAGTGGTGGGTTGGGGCCATAAAAACAATGAGGGGGGTCCTTTTGTTCTCCGCACCGGCCCCCACCCCTGAGCGGTGGGTTGGGGCCATAAAAACAATGAGGGTGGGACCTATTGTCCTCCCCAGCCCCCCACCCCTGAGCAGCAGGGGGGGCATAAATAACAATAAGGGGGGGACACCTATTGTCCTCCCCCCAGCCCTCACCCCTGAGCGGTGAGTGGGGGCCCTAAAAACAATGAGGGGGGACCTATTGTCCTCCCCTCCGGTCCCCACCCCTGAGTGGCAGGTGGGGGCCATAAAAACAATGACTGGGGGAACTATTGTCCTCCCCCGCCCCCACCCCTGAGCGGCTGGTGGGGGCCATAAATAACAATAAGGGGGACACCTATTGCCCCCACGGGACTTACCCCTGAGCGGCAGATGGGGGCCATAAGTAACAATAAGCGGGGACCTATTGTCCTCCCCCCGGCCCCCACCCCTGAGTGGCAGGTTGGGGACATAAAAACAATGAGGGGGGACCTATTGTCCTCCTCAGCCCCCCACCCCTGAGCAGTGGGTTGGGGCCATAAAAACAATGAGGGGGTCCTATTGTTCTGCGCACCGGCCCCCACCCCTGAGTGGCGGGTTGGGGCCATAAAAATAATGAGGGGGGACCTATTGTCCTCCCCAGCCCCCCACCCCTGAGTGGTGGGTGGGGGCCATAAATAACAATAAGGGGGGACACCTATTGTCCTCCACCACTGGCCCTCACCACTGGGCGGTGGGTGGGGGCCCTAAAAACAATGAGGGGGGGACATATTGTCCTCCCCTCTGGTCCAACCCCTGAGCGGCAGGTGTGGGCCATAAAAACAATGACTGGGGGAACTATTGACCTTCCCCGCCCCCACCCCTGAGCGGCTGGTGGGGGCCATAAATAACGATAAGGGGGGACACCTATTGTCCCCCCCGGGCCCTACACTTGAGTGGCAGGTGGGGTCCATAAGTAACAATAAGCGTGAACTAATTGTCCTCCCCCCGGCACCCACCCCTGAGAGGCGGGTTGGGACCATAAAAACAATGAGGGGGGGACCTATTGTCCTGCCCAGCCCCCCACCCCTGAGCGGTGGGTGGGGGCCAAAAATAACAAAAAGGGGATACCTATTGTCCTCCCCCCCAGCCCCCACCCCTGAGTGGTGGATGGCGGCCCTAAAAACAATGAGGGGGGGACCTATTGTCCTCCCCAGCCCCCCACCCCAGAGCGGCAGGTGGGGGCCATAAGTAACAATAAGGAGGGACCTATTGTCCTCCCCCCGCACCCCCACCCATGAGCAGCGGGTGGGGGCAATATACACAATGAGGGGGGACCTATTGTCCTCCGCCCCGGCCCCCACCCCTCAGCGGCGAGTTGGAGCCATAAAAACAATGAGGGGGGTACCTATTGTCCTCCCCTGCCATCACCCTTGAGCGGCTGGTGGGGGCCATAAATAACAATAAGGGGGACACACCTATTGTCCTCCCCCTGGTCCCCACCCTTGAGCGGCAGGTGAGGGCCATAAGTAACAATAATGGGGGACCTATTGTCCTCCCCCCTGACCCCCACCCCTGAGCGGTGGGTACGGGCCCTAAATGAAAATGTCCCCCCATGGTGATTAGGGGTCCCCAAGCACCTAGTCACCCCCCCCACCCAAAACAAAAATTATTAAACTTCTACCTACCCCCCTCACCCTAAAAATAGTGAGGGGGAATAAAAGATCTAAGTGCCTGAAAAAAAATAAAACTTACCATTTGATGTCTTCTTTTTTCTAAAATCTTCATTTTTCAGCCCCAAAAAAGGCCAAAATTATACCCATCCATTTACTTTAATTTTACTTTAATTTGACTCAGAACACTCTGATTGGTTGGCTTGGAATTCAACCAATCAGAGTGCTAGTCATTTTACACAGGGTGGGAAAGTTCTTTGGAATTTTCCCTTCGCTGTGTAAAATGACACAGAGAACTCTGATTGGTTGGATTTCAAGCCAACCAATCAGGGTGTTCTGAGTCAAATTGCAGGGCATGGGAAGGCTTTATAAGCCTTTCCTTGCCCTGCGGAACTCAGTCTGTGCCATGCCCTCCCTGGGTGAAGATCGATTAATGTTTTAGCGTCAGGTTTTTTCTTTTTCATCTGATTTTTTTTTTTTTGCGCTCTGATTTTTTTATTTACATTTTTACAAGTTCAACAGGAATTATGGTTTTTAATTTGGCCTTTTTTGGGGCTAGAAAATTAAGATTTTAGAAAAAAGAAGACATCAAATGATAAGTTTTATTTTTTTTACAGGCACTAAGTTCTTTTATTCCCCCCTCACTATTTTTAGGGTGAGGTAGGGGGTTTAATAATTTTTGTTTTGGGTGGGGGGGGGGTGCTCGCGGTTATCTCCCTCCTTGTAATAAACTGAACCAACAAACGAACACAGATATTCAGTGTTTGTTTGTCTGACATTTCTATTCATTTGTCTTTCTAACAAATGAATGGATGAAATTCCCGTTCGCATGCCCTAGAGTTTAACTGGGCATGCGCGGGAATCTCACAGTACTATCTAGTGTGGGCAGATGATATATTCCACAGGGCCTTCATCTACCCACACAAAGAAGGCGGTGCCCAGGACCTAGGTCGGGGCAGAAAATAAAGTTTAAAAACTAGGTAATATGTGGTGCTAAGGGGCATTTAGGGGTAACTAGGAGGTCAATTAGATGTAGTGGAGTCAGGAGGGGGGGTTAAAAAAAATGGAATTCGGCCATGACAGTGCCGTTTTAACCAAGTTACAGCTGGTCAGTAAAATTTGCCAACAACTGTAACGGCTACCCAGGTTGTAAAGGGGTATCAGCCGTTGGAGACATCCTTTTTCCTGGCAAGCTGCTGTGTACTAATGGAGTTTCTTATTCCCAGCCACGAGATCCAAGAGTAGAATCAGGCATAGCTGTAAAATGGAGCAAGGTAATTGTGCAGTAAATCCCCTTCCAAGAACGAGACGAGGCTACGTTTTGAAGGGTCAAGCAGAACTGGCTTTTATTGAATTCTGCCCTTGGGAGGGCGACACCTACATAATTACTACAGTACCCAATCACAAACATGGTACATCCCACACGTCTCCTCCCCTCAGATAAACAGTTAACATAATTAACACACACATTTTTACCCAAGTTTTGGATGTACTTAAATTCAGTATCCTCAGATAGCCCTCATCTAGGGGAACAACATATTAAAAAATCATCCCATTCGGTGAAAGCATTCGAGAGTTATGGGACTTTAACGTTTTGACCGGTCGCTGGAATCCCCGCACGTAATATATCCTATCTACCGAACGGCCGGGCGTTCGGCAATTTCAGCACGAATTTACAATGTTATGGAGTTCTACCTACTCGAGTTTCCGATTTGAGTTCCAGACACTCGACGGCAAATCACCGCTGTTCGTGCGTTAAGATGGCCGTGAACACGTGCAAAGTCCCGAAATGGCGGCCGCCTAGGATCTAAAACAAAGGATTTGTGCATTTCTCACACGAATGGTATATGCCGGTCTGGGAGGTAAAATACCACATAATTGAACAGTCAGGGTGGTCCGGTGTTCGGCAGTTTGTATTTGTCTTTGTGCCTGCTGAGTCTCTACCGCATGGATTGCACAAATAGACGAATACTGCCAACATAAGTCCCAAACTGTGCTATAATAATCCACCTAACCAGGTAAGTATATTCCCTTGTTTTATCAGGCTTAGTTATTGTCAAACATGTCCAAGCAGAAAGTACAGTTCTGTTACAACAACATTAGAAACAATCCTTCAGTTTTTACCTGATTTAATACATCTCAAGCAAGCCTCATCTAAATATCCCATGATTTGCTAAAGTAAATCACAAACATTGTAAGTAGAATATATAATAATCAATGCAAAGAAATCCTTGTGCAGACAAATATAGGGCATTTATGGATAAATCTAGATTTTCTTTTGTGTTGTATCAAACTTAATTGTATTCTCTGGTCTGTCTTATCACCTATTTTACTTTATCTTTGAGTGTAAAAGAAAAAGCAACATGATCTCCCAAAGTGCTCACTAGAGCATTCAACTTATTAGAGCATATCAGAACATTTATTCAGTGTAATTGGTATTGTACTACATCTGTGATTTGATACATTCAACTACCAGAAGATATTTGACATTTTACTAACAATTCTGAGCACTTGAGAAAAAGAAAACTGGCAAAGACTGTAGTAGTGTAGGAATAATGTGTACTGTACACATTGTGAATCATCAAGCTGTAGATAACATTATAATTATTTGAGTATATAAGACTTTTATACTTTAATTAATGAAAACTGTGTCAGAAGCAATAAAACCAATTTCATAAAATGTGTAATAAAGATCTCCATGCTCTAACTAAACAATCTTCCTGTAATAATCTACTAGTGTAGAAAAGACCTGTTTTTTATATTTTTTGGCAGTGCAGTGCAAATGTGTTCTTTTTTTAATCTTCGATTAATTGTAATGTTCAGTGGAAGCACTATGCATAGGAATTAAGGTTAGATCAATGTGTTCAATTTTCTGCTCTCCAAGATGAGAAGTCTGAAGCTCGGGTTGTTATACAAGGCAGTAACTAGATAATGCCATGATGTTAACCACAGGACATTTATTGCCTCAAAGCTTTTTAGGCAAAACCCTTGTAGTAATTAGCAAAGAAGTGACATTCTAGACATTTAAATAAAAGATGCAAAATCTATTAATTAATTTATCCATTAAGCAAAAAATGACAAGCAGACTCTTTATCATAGTGTGCTGCCAATAAGAACAGATTATACAATCCTGCCATAACTATGAAGTGTTACATAGAAACTTGCTTTTGTTTTTGTTTTAAATGAGTTGAAGTCTCCACACTTTTTAAGTGGAACAATATGTATATTTTTAATGCATTTTTTTCTTGGGCTGTCATTATAGAAAACTATATTGCTCACTAGTGATGTCCCGAACGGTTCACCGAAAGGTTCACCGAACGGTTCGCGAACAGTTCGCCCGGACTCATCATTGAGTAAACTTTGACCCTGTACCTCACAGTCAGCTGACACATTCCAGCCAATCAGCAGCAGACCCTCCCTCCCAGACCCTCCCACCTCCTGGACAGCTCACTAAGAATGCAGCTTCACAATGGATGCTGTCCAGGAGGTGGGAGGGTTTGGGAGGGAGAGTCTGCTGCTGATTGGCTGGAATGTGTCTGCTGACTGTGAGGTACGGGGTCAAAGTTTACTCAAGGATGAGTACGTGGCGAACCATTCGTGGCGAACCGTTCGCCGACCGTTCGGTGAACCATTCGGGACATCACTATTGCTCACTACAACAATAATCTGACCACCTCAGTCAGATATGTCAAACTTAACTCCCTGCCCAACTATTTTCACAGCAGATTGCTCAACTCATTTAAAAAGCCACTTTAGGCATTCAGACATGGTTGGTGCTTCTACAGTGCTGTCTATTGCTATATACTCAAAATTGTGAATGGAAAGCTGATAGTAGCTTTGAATAACTAGTTAAACATGATTTTTCTTTTCAGTTCAAAAGAAAGAAGATCTTTTAAAATTAACTATTACAGAGCATGAGAAGTCATGATGTAAAGGGTTTCATTTATTCGAGGGCAGGGACAAAACCAAAGCCTAAACTTATTCAAAAGTAGAATATTCTCAAAGAAATGTCTTACGATATCCACTGATATCCAATACATAATTGAATTACATGGAAACAAACATCAAATCAGATTTATTAATGAATAAACACAAATAAAAAATAAATAAAATGCAACATTCTGTCTTGAAATTGACAGATATGTTAAAATAAAGTGATAAAACATAAAATTCTTTTTTAAAAATCTAAAAATAACTAAATGGAAAATTCTCACAATTAGTCCAAATTCAGTATAATCTTTGTAATCTGTTCCTGTGGGTAGCTTAGTTGGAGACCTTTTCACATTCAGAGGTCTTATGGAAACCATGCCTCAACACATCAGAGCTGTTTTGGCAACACGAAGAGCACTACGTGATATTGGGCAGGTGGTTTTAACATTGTTGCTGATCAGTGTATAAGAATATTGAGAACAAGCAAATATGAAATTTAGAAAATATTTCATTTACCAGGATTGTTTAAACTTGTTGTTTTCCACTGACAAGAAAGTATTCGTATATATGAAGTATATATTAGACTGCATTTTCCAAGGAGACACTTTTAACCCTTTAAGGACCAAACTTCTGGAATAAAAGGGAATCATGACATGTCACACATGTCATGTGTCCTTAAGGGGTTAAAGCATTTAAGCAAAGAACAATGGTATAGCTGCACATTTTACGTATATATAAGCAAAATATGTTATTAATATAATAAACAGTAAACAATGCCTTCTTATTACTTTTTTATTGCATCCTAGGTAATTGCCATTTAATGCTCTAATGCTAGCATAAGGAGTCTGTGTAAAATAAACATAAAGGAATTAGTAGAGCTTGAGAAGTAATTTTAAAGCGTTTAACTTAAATAGAATTCAAGAAAATAATATTAGTATTGGAAGGAAGTTTAATCAAGCATCTAAAACAACACATACAAATGTAGAAATAGAATAAATCTGCGTACCAAACAGCTATACTTCATGCCAGAAGAAATCCACTAAAATATAATTAAAGTAGACCTGCAAATTAAAAGAGGAGTGCTTTACAGTTATTTAACACTTTTAATTTAGCTAAGTATGTTACTTTACAGTCATTTTTTATAATTTCATACCCATTATGTTGGGTAGAACTCAACAGAAAACAAATAATGAGGAATTTGTTAGTGCAATGGCAGCAGTTGTAACTTTCCACAAGCAATGAAATCTGTCAATGGGTGGCATGGAGGGAATGCATTATGACATTCACAGTTAAAGGGCCACGCAGAACCTGGAAAATAACACAATTTGGTAAATTTTTCTCAATTTTCTTTTTTTAGAGTTTATTCATATTAAATTGTGTTAAATATATAAATATTTGATGAGAAATGAAAGCCATATTTTACCTGCGCAAAATTATATATAAGATAGTAACTTGTACAATTACCTCAGTACTTAACAAGTTAATTTAAGGTTTTCTCTTCAAGTGCTCCTATGCATATTATATATAATTTGTTAAAGTACAGAACGAGCTCTTAATTGACATATACCTATATAATTTCTAATTTTTAATTACAAAAATGCCCCCCCCCCCCCAAAAAAAATAAAATAAAATATTTTATCACAGTTTTGGAAATAATAATATATCTATAATTAGTGCAACCTTTGAAAAGTTATAAAAATAAATGAATGTATTTTGTACTGATTTACAGAGTAGATAATAGGGGTAGGATTTTTGTTTATTTTTGGTAGTTACAGGTTACAAAATACAAGGAGTAAAATAAAACGTCAATGATGAATGATTTTAGAATTCCGTATGTAAGCTTATTATACAATTGCCACACAAAAGTATTTATTTTTATAAAGTAGACATCACAAGGTATTTACCAAAGGGTGTTTTGATACTTATTATGTAGCCATTTAACGGCCAATCTCTGGTTAATATTAATATTTCATTTTTAAAAAAAAACATTTTTCAGCATTATTATTGTTTTTTTAACATACCCAAAAGCCCCTCCATGTGTAATCACCCCCTCCCCCCAACCCCTCAAGATAATTACTGTTACTAAACTTGTTCTTTCAGCAGCTGTGTTCTCTATTGATTTAAAGGGCTTTCAGCACTGACTTTCAGCACTGCTTGCTGATGTGATCAGGAGTTTATGCTCTAAAGCAGTGTGTTCAAGGTGTATAAACTTGGGTAATCCCTAAAGCCTTGAGGAGAGGGTTGAGGAGCACTGCCCTAAAGGATCTAAAGCTCATTATAGCGAGGATGTAATGAT